TTTTAAAAGATACTAAAATGAAAGTTACCAGTGCTTTTTTATTTTGAAGTTTTTCATGCCTATAGTTTTACATTCTTTACTGGTACATGTAAGTTATATAATTTTCTTCGTTTAACTCATTTTTATCATTGTTTTTGTATCTTTTATTCATCTAACTGCCTATATACTTTTATATCAGAGCTTCACAAGAAAGAAACTTGTGAGCCTGTTACAATTATTGAGACCCCTCCAATGGTTGTTGTTGGTGTTGTGGGCTATGTGAAAACTCCCCGTGGTCTGCGGACATTGAACACTGTGTGGGCTCAGCACTTGAGCGAGGAACTGAAGCGTAGGTTTTATAAGAACTGGTGCAAGTCCAAGAAGAAGGCTTTCACCAAGTACTCAAAGCAATATGAAACTGCAGAGGGAAAGAAAAACATTGAAACACAGCTGGAGAAACTAAAGAAATATGCTACTGTGATTCGTGTTTTGGCTCACACCCAGGTAAACATTAATGGGATCATCTACTTTTCTTTGCTAGCCCTATTTCATTTTATATAGTGGTTGTTGTATATACAAAAGTTTGGATTTGTCGTCATCTCAACCATTTACCCATTTTGTTTATGTATATTTTCCATTCTTCCTTAGTGAGTATGATGAAATTCATGTGCTAACGCAGCTCCATAGAATTTGGTGCTATGAGCGGCACTTTCCACACGAGATTTCTGACTCCATGACTGTTTCAAACATCATTTGTGCTGTTTGCTATTAAGACTTATGCTACCTCTTTCAAATTGTTTTTGCTTGCTAGTTTGTGACCATTACCTTTATTAAAATGATGTAGAATTTCAGATGATTCCTTGTGTTTTGTTGGTGAAATTTGAAATTCATATCCACTTCCATTTATGATGAGTTGTTATTTATGATATGTTTTTAATATTAGTTATCCTCTTTTAATCTTACAGATCAGGAAAATGAAGGGTTTGAAGCAGAAGAAAGCCCATATCATGGAAATTCAGGTCAATGGTGGTACTGTTGCACAGAAGGTTGACTTTGCATACAATTTCTTTGAGAAACAGGTCCCTATCGATGCTGTGTTCCAGAAGGATGAGATGATTGACATCATAGGGGTGACAAAGGGTAAGGGTTACGAGGGTGTTGTAACTCGTTGGGGTGTTACACGTCTTCCCCGTAAGACTCACAGGGGTTTGAGAAAGGTGGCATGTATTGGTGCCTGGCACCCTGCAAGAGTTTCGTTCACTGTTGCCAGGGCTGGTCAGAATGGATACCACCACAGAACTGAGTTGAACAAGAAGGTTTACAAGCTTGGCAAAGCTGGAGATGAATCTCACACTGCTCTTACCGAGTTTGATAGGTGAGTGTAGTGTCTTTTTGATTATGGTTGTGTGCAATAAATTGTTCAAGTATTTTTGTTGCAATTCAAACTAATCTTGCTTGTTTTATGATTCAGGACTGAGAAAGACATTACCCCAATGGGTGGTTTCCCTCATTATGGTATTGTGAAGGATGATTATCTCATGGTGAAAGGATGCTGTGTTGGACCCAAGAAAAGGGTTCTCACATTGCGCCAATCCTTGCTTAAGCAGACTTCTCGTGTTGCTCTTGAGGAGATCAAACTCAAGTTTATCGATACCTCCTCAAAGTTTGGACACGGTCGCTTCCAGACCACACAGGAGAAGCAGAAGTTCTTTGGACGCCTCAAAGCCTAATTATGATAACCGGATGGAAATGTTGGATCGTACTTTTATAATTTTATGTTTGGTTTCCGCCGCTCGTGATAAAACGTTTTAGTGTTTATTTGGCATTATGGATCCTTTGGTAGTAGTGTTTTTTTTCCTTAATTTCGCCAAACTTTGGTTTCAAAGGAGATTTATCGTCTGAAAACATTTCAAATTTTGTTTATGATTTTAATTATATATTTTCCCAGTTTAAAGATTTTTGCAAATTTATTTCATTTATCCCTCGAGCGAGTGACGTTCTAGCAGTTTAGAGATTTCATACTGTTGAGCGTTGATCGGAATTGTATTTGGATAGACGTTTTATGTATGTAGATTTAACGAAAACCATGTCAATTAGTTGAAACCTGTATTGCAATTTCAGCCGTTCAAATTTCGTTACTACTGCCTCATGTGATATCTAGATTAGGAAGTAGATGTTAAACTGCTTACTGATATATTATAATATTTCATCGTCTTAAATGTGATTTTCAATTATTATTAAAATTTCCATTTTATTAAAAAAGCACAATATCGATGTTAAACTCACCAATTTTATCCCAATTCTAAAAGTTGATTATTTGAAGGTAAGATTAATAACATGTTGAGTATAAAGTATAATTCGATTCTTTTGGTCGTAACATGTTTACCTCACCGGATTATTACGTAAGAACCAAAACAAGTTCAATGCAACACCTAACGTGTATCACTCCACAGTTTGTTGTTACCCACTAAACTTTCCATGGCATCATTGGAAGAGCATGACACCATAACCCTATAAATCCTACACATAGTTAAACTCTCTGAATATGTGGTTCCATGTAAACGGATTTATTGGAAGATAGCCAGTATCTTAGTAATTTGTATTGGTTAATGTAGTGTCAGTATCTTAATAATTTGTATTGGTTATATAATGTACCTAATAAATCAACCGGATATAAAACTTAAATATATATTCTCTAAATAAGCACTTTGAAAGACGTGGGTTTATAATACAAAATTATGACTAGAATTATAAGACAAACAAAATAACAATATTTTGCAACAGTTAATATTTTGAATAATCAAAATGTCGTGGAATTATTAGTTTTTTATTATAAACAACTTTAAAATAAGGAATTTTTCAAAGTATTGTTTTCAAATATGTTAATAAAAATTAATTAGATGTCTAGTTATCAACTACGATATGCAAAATAATATTAAAGCAATGTGTAATATCGCGTTGTGATTTTTGTTTTTACAATATTTTTTCAGAGGCAAGAAAAAATGTGTTAATTATTATTATTACACACTTATGAATCACTCTTCAATTATATGAAATGAAATGAAAAAAATGAATAATAGTATCTAGGTTGTAGGCCGGATAAGCACGAAATGGCAACTCAAAACAGATGGATAAGTTTTGGTGGTGGTTGATTGAGTGTGTGTGATGAGACCAAGAAGCACGAGCTAGCAAATGCAAATCTTCACCCAACCTTAAATTCAATCAAAAGGTTCTCCGTCATATGAAGCCGCAACTGAATTACATTGCACCCAGCATAAGATAGGGTAACAGTAACAGATTCACGATATCATGCGTGCCACTCCTTATTTAACTCTCTCTCTCTCTCTCTCTCTCTCTCTCTCTCTCTCTCTTTCACTACTTGTCTCTCAGCTTTTTCAGGCAAGTTCTCTCCCCCTCTATCTCTCTCCTTCTCTTCTCCGTTTTTAACGAAAGAACGTGCGGTGTTTTTACTTTGCTTCACGATTTGCTGCAACTTTAAGGCCTTGAGCTGGAAGTCGGACATACCCTTTTTATTCTTTGAGATTTTCTTCTCTTCACTGCCTTTTGTTTTGCGCTGTTCTTGGATTTAGGTCTCCAATTGGATACGCGACTATCGTCCCAGTGTGATTGAGTGTGAGATAAAAATTTCATTTTTAATGTTCTTCTTTCGTGATGGGTGCTTTGTATGGGAAGCCCCACGATTCTTTGCATTATGATTTATTGGAATCGATCGTGATTTAGTCCAATTGGGTTTTGCGAATAATCGGAATGGTTTAGCTTTTTTTAAGGTGTTATTATTCTGTTATTCAGTTTTAGAGTGACGATTTTGGAGCATGGCAAATGCGAGCTTTTACTCTAGTTACTTTTTTTTTTTTTTTTTAATTTTAGATTGATTAAAACTAGAGAACTGTTGGGATGTTTTTATGCTATTCATAAACTGAACAAGTGAAAACAGTTGAAGTGATTCATCGACATCGTCATCATTATATGTATTTTCTGGCTTTTACAGGTTAATTTACAATGACCGAACCTTCTAAGGTCGTTCACGTTCGAAATGTGGGGCACGAAATATCTGAAGTACCTTTTCTTTCTCTCTCTTTTTGGATGTTTTCGTGGTTGCTTTGCGCTTGTTTGTTTTGGTATTATGATCATGTCATGTCATGGATAAACTAAGCTACGTTCAACTGCTTTACCTCGTATTTGGTAGCAATGAAATAGAGGGGAAATGGCGAGGAGGGAGGGGAAACACGGGAGATAAAAGTTCTATAGGTTGTGTTTGGTAGAGTGAAAATAGGGTAGAACAAAAATAAAGAGGCATGGATACTTAAAATTTTAATTCTTCACAATCTGCAGTGGGGAATAGAAATGAACAGTGAAAGGCTTTTATGGAAAAAAAAAAGAAAAAAAAAAAGGAAACGGCTGTGTGTGTGACAATTTGTGGTGGTTTATTTTGTAGCTGCTAGAAACAGCCAAAAATTGCTTGACCTACTACATTTGGAGACGGGTTTCCATGGCAGTTTAAAACTGCTAGAAAAATATATCACTACAAAATAATTGATTTAACAAGATAACCGGTTATCTATAGATACTTGTTTTTCTCCTATTTTTCTCATAACTATTGTTCCATCTAGGAAGAACAGTCTCCTAGTTTCTAGTTTCTTGTTTCATTTTGAACTCTAATTCCTTACGATTTTATTTTTAAAAAACGTATCAATTTAGAGAAAAATTATACATAAATAATTTTTGGTCTTGAAACCTATTATAACGTAATCAAATAACTATTAATTCTCTATTCTCTCAAGCCTAACTCCTAAATCCATTTTATTTTCACCTATTTCCATTCGCATTATCTTTTTACCACTTACCAAACACACCTTCAGCTTTATTTTGATGTGGTGAAAACTATAATTTACCAAAAAGGTGAATGAACAGAGAGTGGTAACGTAACCAAGGGTGTTTAATTTCTATTTTCAATGATTTTTAGTTTTCAAAATGCAACCAAACAAGGTAAACTTGGACCAATGGTGAGTAGAGTTTGGAATCAGGAGAGATGTTAAACAAGATGAAAATAGAAAATGAGAAAATATCTCCCAACTGTTTCATTCTTTACTTTTCAAAATTTAATAGAATTTAGATGTTAAATTGATTGGTAAGTTGTGAGAATTGTTTTAAAAAACCATAATTTAAAGTGAAAAGGAGATCAAACCAGTTCACTCACAAATTTCTATTTCCTGCAACTTCTTATAAAATGGTTCTATATTTTCATTTTTAGATTTTTAGTTATTGATTGCAACCTTTTTGTTAGCTCTAGTAAACACATGCAGAATTTTTCATAGAAGCTGCAAGGAATGTGTCTTGTCTTAGCAGATTGAAATGAGCATTTCTATTCATATTTGTAGAGCTTAGTATTTATTGTCTTTGCAGAAAATGATTATGCTTCCTTTACAAGTAGATTTTTTACTTTCTGAAATTAATAATCCTTTTCTCTTTGATTCAGAATGATTTACTCCAGCTGTTTCAGCCTTTTGGAGTCATAACTAAGCTTGTTATGCTGCGTGCAAAAAATCAGGTTTTCTTTTTCATTCCCTCAAACTAGATTGATAGTTTCTGCATAAACTTAAGGTTTTATTTTTTCATTATGTTTTGTACAATCTGTGCCATATTTGTAGGCACTTCTCCAAATGCAAGATGTTCCTTCTGCAGTTAGTGCTTTACAATTTTATGCAAATATCCAGCCAAGTATAAGGTACAGATAGCTTGTTTATTTCTGTCTTTCAATGATTACATGATGGAATTGACTATAGTTTGATAATTGATTTTTGGTTTCGAATTAGGATATTTCCTTTGATAATAAGATTTCCATAGAATTATCCTTTTGTTTTGTTCTAGGGGGAGAAATGTTTATGTTCAGTTTTCCTCACATCAAGAACTAACAACAATGGATCAAAGTCAAGGACGAGGAGACGAGGTTGGCATTTTTTGTGTTTATATTTTTTATTTAAAAACTGTATAATGTATGCTCTATCTTGTCAATTTCTTAAAAAAACATACTGGAATGATTGATTTTATTTTATTCTTCATTTTTAATTTTTGCATGATATCCCCCCTCAATATCTTTGTACTGTCATCTTGACTGTCCCATTTCAGTGGGATCAGTGTTATGTTCTATATTTTCCTCTATCTCTTTATCACGTACTTCCTCTATTTATTCTCCTTTCTCTCTATCTCTTCTCTTTCTCTATGCTATTGGGAACTCTCTGGATGCACAGCCAAACCGAATCCTCTTAGTTACAGTTCATCACATGCTGTATCCTATAACAGTGGATGTGCTGTTCCAAGTGTTTTCTCCCCATGGATCTGTGGAAAAGATTGTAACATTTCAGAAGTCAGCTGGTCAGATTCTCAGATTTATCCTTTTCTCTTCTTTCCTTCCCTATTAACTTTTTTATATCTGGACATTAACTAGGTAAATTGAGGTTATATTTTGGTCATGCAATAGTTTGTTTTGAAATGTGCATATATATATATATGTATTTGTATTTGAATGTAAATAGAAAAAAAAAATTGTATTGGAAAGTGCCAGTAGTCTATTGGTCCATGTAAACCAACCCTCATTATAGGATTAAACATGGTTGTTGTAGTGTGAAAGTAAGTAAATGGGACAATAGTAGAACAGGCTTCTTTAAATTTAATGGATTTGCAAAGGCTTTGTTTTTTAATGTCTAGTGGAATGCTTCTCAATTTTCAACACATAACATGATGTAGGATTTAGGAGGGAAAGAGAAAAAAAAAAAAAAACAGAAAGAGGGGGGAAGAAGATGGGAAAGAAAGGATAGAGAGATGAGAGAAGTAGAGGTATCTTATCAAGGAACTGTTCATTCCAATTGTATTATCATTCCAATTTGTCAAAAACACAATAGCCATGCTTTATTTATGGCAGATATCCAATAATCCTAGCTAACAGTAGCTGTCTAACAAACAATTTTCTTTTCTATTTATATTTATATAACAAAAACTCTACCCAATAAAGGATCCTTGCCCTCAAGGGTAGTGGGATCGTAGAAGGGAAATAGGGTGGCCATGCTGACCCTACACCCACTCCCCAAACTTTCTACGCAGACATATATAATTTTGGTCTCTTATCATTGTTTTAGGTTTTAATTTGGTCCCTTAAGTTTAAAGTTTCACTTTGGTTCCGTATTGTGTCTGTATGTATTGACCGAATTGGTTCTTTCGTAAGTTTTTGGCTCTGACAGTCAATCTTGGTTGACTTGACATCTTTCATATTGCCATGCTTATCAAAGTTTGACTGAATTAGTGTGCTAAAGCAGAAAAACTAATTTGTCTAATAGATAAACTCTAAAGACTAAAAGTAAAGCTCTTTAAGGATAAGGAACCAATTGGAACCTAAAATAAAACATATTTATACGTTATTCAATTCTGATAATTTTTTCAAATGTTATTTTAAGTTATTTATTTCTCCATCACTAATAATAAGTTTAAGTAACTAAAAGATTGTAGACAATTTTAATTTGTAAATTTTAGTCTTTTAAAGAACATAGTAAAAAGGTACTATTTAATAATTTCTTTATTATTATTTTAGAGAAAATTTTATGTTAATTGAATTTCAAAATTTGTTTTTGATAACGCCAACCCTTATGATGAATTTAATTACACTTTGTATATATTACGTATTTCTTTCATTAATTATCTTTCCATAATATAAAAAAACATTTTTTGTTACATTTTTCAAACTCACTATTTTTCTATTACTTTTATATCTTCATTGTAGTATGGAAAATAACTTGAATCTGTGTGTTTTTCTTGTAGATTATTTATGCAAATTTTGTCTATTAAATTGTGATTTTTGTGCAGTTTTTTTCTGCCAAAAAAAGAAACTTTAAATTTTCTATAATTTTGACAAAATATATGATTATTTCCTTAAATTTTTGCTAAAAAAATATGAGATTTTAATAGTTGTAAAAAGGTAATCTGGGAAGTGTTATTAACAAAGTAGAAAAAATATTTTAGAACTAATGATGCTTTTCATCCTTGTAAAATTGAAAATATTTGGTATTTATATCTGACATTTTATACATCCGCTGTTTACACTGCATTATGTAAATACCCAAACTTTCATCTTTTTTTATACAACTTTTGGGACTCGAGTGGCATATTAGGGATGAAAATTTATAATCTTAAATATTTTGGTCCCTTCAATTTTTTTAAACTCAGCCATTGCTCAATGTCTTGAACTGCAAGCAGAATGATAAGAAGGGTAATTTCTGTTCAATACCCAAAGTTTTCAAGAACTTGTACTCAAAATTACTCACAAAAGCATGATCTCTATCAGTAATTATCGACTAGTGATCTGCGTGACCTGTGGATCTGATACATGCAGTGTTGAGGAGGTGTTGCTGCTGTATATGAATGTGAAATGGCCACAAAATGGGTAAGCTTGATCTGATGTCCCAAATAGCATCCTTGGGATGGCGGTGAAAACAAATATTCTGGGCTGTTGAGCTTTTTTTTTTTTGACAGTTAAAGCTTTCAACATTTTTTAAGAATTCATGAGGGGCAGAAAGTTCATTCTTGGCCATCCCAACTGCTGACTTTTTTTTATCTGGGACTCACTTTCCACTAACACGTTCTTACTCAGCTTCCACTTATCTTGTGTACTTGCTACTGTGTTACGAGCCAGAAGCGATGTAATTCATGTTGGTCAACATTCTCCTCTTAGACGGCTGTGGAAATGTGATTTGTAGCAAACATCCAAGCTACAAGCTTCTGGCATGGTTCTTGGCTTAAATAAACAGATTGAGAGTGTAGTGTATTCTTCCTATAGACTGGACCAGCCATATAAGCTTCAAGATATTCTTTAGATGAAGGAAGTTAACCAGGAATTGTACCAAATTCATAATAAATTCTGCCAAGGTGTGATGCTGTCGCAAACACATGTGGTTTTCTTGTTGGAGGTGTTTTCCCTTTCCCGCAATAGCCACTAAAGCTGATTTGAAAGGGCATCCACCATGTCTAATAGTGTATCCACCACCTTTTCAAGGGTTCTGTTAAATTTGAACGGGGCATTCTTTTATTTCCTGCGGTTGTGTTTCCATGCCCGTGGTTGAGAAGATTTTGGTCAAGTGACAGGAAACCAGGCTCTAGATGATGTGGGATATAGGTGTGAAAGAGAAAGAAATAGGGGAAGAGGGAAGAAGAGCAAAACACTGGACAGAAAGAGGGAGATGAGAGAAACCAACAGATCAAAAAACTGTGTATTTTTCTAGTTTGTCTGAAATTCAATAATTGAAAATCATCCATGGACATCTGCAGATAAAAATATAGGTATGATTGGTGATATAATGTGATGGGAAGAAACGGTGGAGAGAAATAACGTGTTAATGGAATGTTTGATATAGGAGTGTTTATATATCATTACTGTACAATTGAGCTTTATTTATAGGTAGCTACCCAATAGTTATAAACTCCTATTAACAGTAGCTGACTAACTAACTGACATAACATAATGAACATGCCCTTGCCTTCTAATAAGATACGAGGATTGTTATCAAAATTTTTGTGGCAAATGACTTTTATATGTCATTTATGCATGTGTAGTTACTGTACTGTTCTACTAATTTTTTTATCATGAATTTGCGAACTTTGTAGGCTTTCAAGCTCTCATCCAGTTTCAATCACGTCAGAGTGCTGTTAATGCAAGAACTACACTTCAGGTTGTTTAACATTTCCTTTCAGGCTTTACTTGACTAGTTAGTTCTAATGTTGTTTGTGAATGGTGATTGAACTTTCGGAAATTTCTAGGGGCGCAATGTTTATGATGGTTGCTGTCAGCTGGACATTCAGTTCTCAAAGTAGGTTAAATTTATCCAAGTAATTTTGTTGTGCATTGATTTGTATGTTTATAGAATTGTCTTTTTATTTTCTCTCTCTTTGCTTTTTTATTCACTTTATTTTCTTACATGGACTTTTAATTCATTTTAATTGCAGCCTTGATGAATTACAAGTGAACTACAATAATGACCGTTCAAGGTGATTCAGTTAGTTCTTGGGGTTCTCTTTTTATTCACTGGATAATCTCATTTTTGAAATCTAATTAATCACATTGTTGCTGACTTTATTTCATCTTTCACAGGGACTTCACAAACCCAAATCTCCCTACCGAGCAGAAGGGCAGACCTTCACTAGTATTTTCTGTTTGGTTCTGTATTTATATATTTATGAATCAATTCTGTTGATCTTTGTAAAGTCCAGTCTAAAATATATATATATATATATATATTTTTTTTTTTTTCATCTTCTGTTAAGCAGCCTGGATATGGTGATGGAGGAAATATGTATGCTGCTCAAGGTTCTGGAGGCAGGGCAGGTGCTAAATATTTTAAACTGCTTTGGTTGGCTTGTTTTGTTTGTCATAATGTATTATTTTTTAATGTACTGATGTTTGTTCTTTTTTTTTACTCTTTCCAGTTGGATTTCCACAGGTAGGTATTTTTCAGAGCAATTTGAAGTTCCCATTAGATACTATTCTTGCACTGTTTATCATATGAAGTTATCATCATTCATTTTGTATCTTGGGAAAGTAAAGGAATGTGTTATGGTTAAGTTGTATGATTGTAGCCAACCAGTTTACATGAATTTTTGTTTAGTACACAACTTGGTGAGGGCTTTGTTTTTAAGTTGATTTTGCTTTTCAAATTGTGTTAATTGGTAGAGGGAGAAGTCTGTGAGTTCGGATTTTGCTTCTTGAACTCTTCGGGATTTCGAAAGACCCACATAACATGAACACATTATTTTATCTTTAATTTCTAGTACACGGCTACAAACATTCGTGAAAATGAGATGCTCTCTGTCTTGTGAAAATAAATTTAATTTACTTATTTATTATTATTAATTTTCAATTATAGATGGCAAATGCTGCAGCGATTGCAGCTGTCTTCGGGGGAGGTTTGCCTCCTGGAATAACTGGGACAAACGACAGGTGTACAGTTCTTGTATCAAATCTTAATTCTGATGTAAGAACTTTGTCTGGCTTCATCTAGAAAGTTCTCTCCATTTCTCAGCTTATTTAGCTTGAAATTTCTCTATTTCAGCGAATTGATGAGGATAAACTATTCAACTTGTTCTCTTTTTATGGGAATATTGTGAGAATTAAACTTCTCCGAAATAAACCAGATCATGCACTTATCCAGATGGGTAATGGTTTTCAAGCTGAATTGGCTGTACACTTTCTGAAGGTGTGTATTATGATGCTAAATTTCTGACATACCTTGTTGTTTGTTACTTCTGTTATTGTTGTATTTGGTGATATATCAAGGTATGCATTATTTTTTATCTACAATTTCAATGTCTATATTTGACAATTCATCACAAGTTTGCTTAGTGATTTTGTAGAATTTTAAAATAAAATGAGCAAAGTATGGTAAGAGAAAATTCACATTTCTTTTTCTAAGGTTTGATTCTAGTTGTAAGTTTTTGATCCATTTAAGTTTAATTCCCCTGAAATTTTAATTCATACTTTGATTATTCAGCTTTTTAATTACTTCAAAATGTATCTTCCTCCTCTACCATGCCTTCTGGCAAATTAATATTGTAAGCTGATCACAAACATATTCACCTTTGAGACGTAGGGAGCCGTGTTGTTTGAGAAACAATTAGAGGTCAACTTCTCCAAGCATCCAAACATAATCCAAGGTGCTGAAACACATGAATATGTCAGTTCAAATCTCAACCGTTTCAACCGTAATGCAGCCAAAAACTACCGGTATTGCTGCTCCCCAACAAAGATTATCCATTTGTCCACACTCCCACAAGACATCACTGAGGAGGAGATTGTGAGCCTTGTAGAGGAGCATGGAACCATTCTCAACAGCAAAATCTTTGAGATGAATGGGAAAAAACAGGCTCTGGTTCAGTTTGAGAATGAGGAGCAGGCTACTGAAGCCCTTGTGTGCAAGCATGCCAGCACACTTTCTGGCTCAGTAATCCGTATCTCCTTTTCGCAGTTACAGAATGTATGAGTCTTTGTTAAGGAGTTGTGGTCAACCGGAGCAACAGTTGTTGAGCACAAAGGACAAGGATTCTGAATTTGGGAAGAATATTTTTTTATGTAGATGAAGGTCATCTTTGTAATGGTGGCATTGCTTTCTAACTGATTTACTCATAATATCCACTCTTTCATTTTTCACTTTAAATAATTTCTCTCCTCATCTCCTTTGCTCTGCTAGTTATTTAGGTTGCTAACATAATGTAGTGGGGAGGTGTTCATTTTGTGATTGAGGATATGTTTTTGAGAGGGGGATTCACTACCTTATTGCCTTATAAATAATCGTTGTATATGTTTTGTAATTCGGGCTAATTAGTAAGTAGGCTTTGCAATTGTATTCTCAATCCATGTAAAAATTTTCCATTCCAATTGAGCAAGAAACTACATAAGGTGTTTGTTTTTGAAGTATCTATCAATTGGTTTACTCTTCCTATTTGCAGGCTACATATTTCACTCCTCCTGTAGCAACTTTCTTCATCTCTTATTCTTCCTTCTTGCATGCATATGGATTGAGAATAGTTCATTATTTCTTCTCCTCCTCCAATCTCTACTCTTTCCCCCCCCCATGATCAGCAAGCTCCTCAATCCTCAATGTGATAATGAAAATTGAAACCTAAAGTTTAGAAGATGAACTTTATGTCATTGGCCACTTGTCTTAGAAGTTCTCTCGCTTGCAACGCAGGCAAGCAGGTGTGAACGGGGAAAGTTGCAGCGTGAAGTCATATTTCAATGAGTTAAATCGTAGCACGAAAACTCAAAGGCTATTGATACTTATTTGGAAGAATTTAAGTAACTCACAATCGTACCACTTTCAAAAACTACACCCAGAACAAGGTACTTGGAGTCGTACCTGCTATGGCAAAATAAGAGGAAATACCATTTTATATCACAGATTTCGTTGAAAGGAAAAGGAAAAGGAAAAAATTTCGAGTGTTGTTTAAATTTTGTAGATCCATGAAACACCAACTTTCACATCATAAAATTACATAGATTAATCCAAGAGATTATGAGAACTTCAACAATTACTCAATGCTTATTAATTAGTAAAGAATTGTACAATTGCTGATTAAAACTCAGTTTAGGTGTTTTCATCCAACTACAGCTCAGGAATGTTATTTGAGAAGAAAAACAAATTGAGAGAAAGGAGTATTTCAGAGTTTTGAGAATGATATGAGGTCACTAATTAAGCTATTCCAATCACTTTATATTTCTCATCTGTCTTCCTTAACACCTATTAATTTTAATGAAATCAGAATCGATAACAAAAGCTGGTAATAATTCTGAACCATAAATCTCCCTTTGAATTCATTGGGTTAGTAGATTATTGACAAACTATAATTGTTGTCGGACACTTCTTGGGTCTCTTTCGGTTCAATTACTTAATAGCTGGTCATGATGAACAAATCTTATTACTAAACAACCTTCTTTGATCTGTATAATAGTGATATTTGAATATACCCATTTGGGAGAATTTGTTGACGGGTTACACTACTTAAGCATAGAAATATTGAATTTAAAATATTAATATAATTAGGTGGAAGAATATCAAGTAGTTTATTTTATTCAATGTAAGAAAACTTTACTCATTTACCAACATATATTTAGTTTGTAACTTCATCTAACTTATATTTATCTTTTTCTGGTAAACTAATTTTTATGAAAACACTAATTCTCGAAACTAAATATAAGAGTAGAATTAAACTCAAAAGACTAATTTATTAAACAAAAGAGTAAAAAAATTAAAATATCACATTAAATAGCTACTTAATGTGGGATTCCTATCACAATGTTTAAAACAAATCACGTCATTATCAGAGACATGAGCCTGATTGTGTCTCAAACCAATTTTATTTTGTTTATTCTTTGTTTCTTGTCCTTTATGTACGTGTCTGGTCCTGTTTTGAATGCAAGCAATACCCACGTTGTAAGACTGATAAATGCTCTATTCATCGATTAAAGTGTGAAGCTTTATATTTTTTTGCTTCCTCTAGTGCTTGTCACGTTGGTTTGGTTGCTTTTGACATAAGCTAGAACAGACAACAGATCAAGCCTCATTTTTCTCTCATAATTGTTTATAGGAGTTCATATGTTGCTTTTTGGTCTTTTATTTTGGTATTTTGCGTTATATTGTTTAAATTTTTATCTTCTCTATCTTCTTTTTTATCAAACTAATTACATTTTTCAATGTTTAATATGTGTTCATTGATATTTTTAATGGAATAAAATTATAATTAATAAATGTCAAAATATGCATATTTACGTGGATGATTTGTATAAAGATACATATGTGTATCTCCCAGAGGATTTTATTGTCGTATTTACTTTATTTAGTGTGACTCTACTGTTTTTGAGTCCTTGAGATTTTAATTAGCCATTTTTGTAGCAGGTTAATCATTCTCAACTTGAGAATATTAACGGTTAGGTCAAATTGACAAATTTCCTTAATTTTTTTTATATCTTTTTTTTTTTAGATTGTTCACGGTTATCTATGAGTAGTTATCTTCACTTAGTATTTGATTATTATTGATTTTAATTATTTATTTTTTTCTCCTATTAATTTCTCTTCTATTTTGGTTATTTTAATAGTTAGACCTATAAAGAGGAACTTGATTTTTAAATCAAAAGAATACATTTAACTTCAAAAGAATGAACGAATTAGCAAAGAACTTAGTAAACTGAATTGAAATAGCCATAGACACTACAAAAGTAGGGTCAATTCAATTTGATACATATTTGTATCATGAAAAGAAAATAATTATTTTAAATTAATTATTCATAATAAAAAATTAAATTTAGAGATTAAATTAGTATGAAGTTTTTGTACAAAATCCAATCTTAACAGTTTTCTTATATAAATTTAAATTTTTATTTTTCTTTTGAATTCATATTTTCATAATAAGTTATAATTATAATCTATTTCATTTTTTATTCTTTATTAAACTACGATTATAACTTTAAATACACCATGGTAGACTTAATATTATTAGTTGACATAAGTATTTATGATTTTCAAAGATTAGGGATAACAATATAAAGTTAGGCATTTTGTTCCATGTTTCCCATGTGAACATTTGTACAGTTTTTTTCATAATTATCATAGAGATACTAGTGAAAAAGTTTATCTTAAGACCAAATATAATAGAAGGTTATTGATTGAATCTACTTATTAGCCCAAAGTTTGTGACATGTTTACACAAATATCATGAAACATAATTTTAACTTTATTAGTCAACTAATAAAAGCTAAAATAAATTTATCATAGTTATAGAAATTAATGAACAAGCATATTAAATCTAATTGGTTGTAATCCCTATCTCTACCTTCCAATTTCCTTTTTATTTTTATTTTTTTCTTTTTTCTCTTTTCAGAAATGTTGACCCAATGAGTTGAAAATTGATCTTTTATCCACTAAGCACCGACTATAGGATGTTGTCTGGTGTATGTTACAAGCACTTGGAATTGGAATTTTCTAGTTACCAAAGTCAAATCAAACTTTGATACGAAGCATTACAAAACCTTTAAGTTTTTCTTCTTCGATTTCAACACAAGACGTTCCTCTAGTCTCTTTCAGGTTTTCTTATGCATATCCTGTATTATTAACTATTTCAACACACCACTATTTATTCAGAGGCAAAATTGGAATAAAAGTTTTAATATTTAATAAAATTGAAAACTTAAATTATTATGAATTTTTTAATACTAATTAATAGCACACCAATATTTTCTTAGATCGCCATCTTATTTTTATGAATATGAAGTTCAAATGGTAACTTTGTAAAAAGATATAAGCTTAGTTCCTATTAATCATATATTAATTAACATCAAGATAGAGAGAAGTACAACTCTCTCTCTCTATATATATGAATCATTTCTGCATTTTCACGAGATAATCATCAAGTAAAGAAAATTATAGACTTTTTAATACATACCCATGCATATTTGATTATCATTATCTATTACAAGAGGGTGATTTGGTGTTTATTTGTTTTTTTGTTCTAACAAGTCATTGTAATAGTGTAGAAGAACTGAATAAAACAAATGTGTCGATTAAGCGTGAAGACACCGAAAAGGAGAAACTTGTGAGACTCCTTTTATCCTTCAATTCTTATTTTTAATGTGAATTGATGATGTTAAAGTGTTTAGTTAATTGAACTTAAGTTCTCTTTATTTGATTACTTAATGCTGTTGTCCTCTATTGTGGGCATCCACAACCATTTTGAAGTTTCTAGATATTTTATTAGTTGGAACCTGTTTTATATTCAATCAATTGTACGTTGAAATTTAAGTTTCAATCAATTTTCAGTAAGTAAGGTGTAATAAATTTGTTAAATATTGTGGATGCAACTTTTGAAGTAAAATTAGGTTATATAAATACAACATGATGATAATAGTTCATACAGTTTCTCTTTCTATGTTATATATATCTTAATAACATAACAATGATTGTACAATATTTATCACATCATGTAAAAATGTAAATGTATTGTATGATATATGATATATAAGAGGTAATATATATATATATATATATATATATATATATATATATATATATATATATATATATTACATTAATAATACTTAAACGAGAGTTTTTTAATAGTTTTGTGTAAGTTATTTTGTAAATATTTTTAAAATTAAATATAAATGCATGATTTCAGGAGTTAAAAATAAAAGTAAAATTAGACTTATTCAATAATTTTTTTATATTCTTCTAATAATATACTAAATGTAAATATGTCATCTTAAAAAGTTATCCAATAATTATAACTAAAAGTTTAAAAATAATTTATTTTTTTAACTAAAAAATACTTTTTGACTAGGACAATTTTAACTTATTTTTTATTTATTTTATACTTATTTAAATATAATTAAGTTTAAAAAACTATCGACCACACACGTGGGATTTTTACGGGTTTATACCATTTTTACAATTATTATTCCTTTGAAATTGAGAAGTTTATGAGAATATACTAAATTATCTCATAGTTTAATTATATAAAAAAATTTAAACACTTATCATATGAAAAAATTAAAAAAGGTAGAGAACTGCAAAATGTGTGCATGATCATTGTAATGAAAATGCAAGAATGATCCAATAGACTGATAGGCAACATAACATTGAAATAAGTACAAGTAGAAGTGTGACCAAAATTCTGTAACACATAATATTAATGAACTTGAACATGCATATTTGTGTACATCTTCAAGTACAATTGTGCTTATTTAATTTTAACAAACAGAGACAGTATATTTTGTTTAGCATAATTAATTTGCATATATATAACTTTACTAAAGAATACCTAGAAGGAGTAAAGTAGAGGATACACCTTTGGAATAAGGGAGTCATTTTAATATGACAAAATTTACACATTATTACCAATAACTTCATTAAGAGGTTACTTTTAAATCTTAAAACTATATATTCATAAAAAAATCACAACGGTATTAAAATTTTTAATTTAAATATTTTATTTGATTTTTCATAATTCAAATACATCATATGTCTTAAAAAAATATATTATTTATTTTTAAATTTTATTATAACTTAAAAAAATATGTATATATATATATATATATTAAATCTAAAGTATATATATATATATATATATATATATATATATATATTGTGGTATTATTAAATATAAACTATGTGGATGACTGTCTACCGCATAAAAATAATATATTTATAATATCTAGAGAATGAGATATTGTTTAAAAAACAAAGAGAAATATCAAACTTTCACTATGTCTATTTTCATCTTTCATCAAAATCTTACTCTTGAATTTGAGTAAGATTTAATGAGTTTGATTGTCACGTTTTTTTATTATAGTTGTATAGATGAAAGTTTGAAAAAAAATTAATAGAATGGAAGAGATACTTAAGTGTGATTTTATTATCAATATGTGAATTAAAAAAAAAATATAGGTTTCTTAGGTTTTTGTAATAAATGGATCAAAGGGAAGTATATAGATTTTATTTGTTAAATTTTATATTTTATATTTATTTATTTAAATTATAATATTATATTGTTTTAGTATGTAGTGGTATTATTAATATCATTATTATATTGCTTATTTGTATTTTGAAAAGATATATTCAAATTTAAAAAGTGGAGAATCAAAATATATCTTTAGAAGACAAAATGATAAAAATACAGTTTAATTTATTAATATATTAAATATCATATATATATATATATATATATATATATATATATATATATATATATATATATATAAAAGACTATAGTTAGTAAAATAGTTCTAAAAAATAACTAGTTTATAATTAAAAACCATGAAACTATTTGATTAAAAAAATTCAATTTTTATAAAATTACTTGTCTAAATAACTAATAAATGTAAAATAAGATAAATAGACATGTTTATATTATATTTTTTATTAATAAAAATATATTTTAAAGTATTTATAACATTAATTTTTATTTTATTTTTAACCAATCATTTTAATTGCATTTTTTCTATCAAATATTATATTTTTATTTATTTTATTAATTATTTATATCTTGAAATATTTTAAATTAAATTTTAAACAAAGTGAAATATTATAGTTGTATTATGTTAATCAAATATAATAATAAGAAATAATTAAAAAGAATCATGTTAATAGTTTAAAATATATATTATTAAAATGATAAAACAAGTAACATAAATAATATAATGGTCAAAAGACAATGTTATATAAAATATAAAAATTTAATATAACTTGTGCCATAAAAATTTAAAAAATAAGACAAATTTATCTCATATTTACTGAAAGACAAAACAAATCTGCTTCCAAAGTTATTTTTCATTCTCTACTCTACATCTGTGATTCACAATTATGATTCTGATTTTCTATAAATAGGAGATGGCTTTCATAAATTGGATTTTGTGAGAATACTTAGGCTTATGTCCATCTCACGATTCTCTTATATAACATTTTTTTTACTTTACATCATTCTGGATGCTCCTCAATTTTTTTATATTTTTCAGAAGACTTTATGATCGATAAGCTAATGAACTTCAGTCCTTTTTGCCTTTACTTGATTATGCAATCTTATTTTTTTGTCTAATTTTGATATAAGACTATAAAACTTAGATTCTACTGTTATTTATTTTCAATAATACTTTCAGTTTCTTAAACATTCTCCCACATGGTCAAAATTTCCTTTATTGACACTGATGACATGTTGCAGTTTAGATGGTCCCAATGTAGCTCTCTACTAACATATATGTCTTGTAGATATGAGTCTAAAATTATGCCTGTTTGTTTCTCCACTGCAATGTGATTCAATTGGAATAAACTATTTTCAGTACTTATTTGGTTTGTCCTATTTCATTTTTATCCATTTCTATAAATTCCTTACAGGATTTGGTAATAAGCAAAATGAAGGCAAGGGAAAAGGTGTGCTAAGAACATGTGTGTCAAACCCTGTATCTGTTTAATCTTGTAGAAAATATGAAATGATAGTAGCAGTAAATAATATCAAACCCTCTAGATACACACAAGGTGTGTAATAGATTGATACATTAACAGAAGCAATTTTCATTCACAGGAATGACATGACAGATAGAGACGATAAACTTCATTAATGTTAGGTTTAACGTAGAGTCAAACTTGTCCCCAGTAGGGGACAAGACACCTAAACCCTAACTTTTAAAAATAAAAAAATATTTTAAACTTAAAAATATTTTTTAAATAAGTCATATGAATAAAATTAATTTTATATAAGTTTAACATATTTTGTAATAATAATAATAATAATAATAATAAATTTATGATATGTTGTTAATATTAGTGAAAAAGTAATTATTGGATTACATAAAGTGTAAATGTAGGTATAAATCTTTTAAGATTTTACTCATAAAATAAGCATGTCTAGCATATGTTTTTTAGGGTTTTACCTATCCTAAACAATATAGGTACAAATATTTTACTTTCACAAATTTTGTACAGGTAGAAGTCTTTTTGAATTTTGCATGTTTATTAAGTTGTTATACAATTCTAGTTACACCCAACGTATATAGTTATAAAAATATTTTTAACTGATCTGAATTATTGTTAGTATAGCTTAAAAAATATTCAAGTATAATACAATTTGTAATTTAACAGCATTATAAAGCTTACACGCTATTTTATGTGCACAGCCAACTGAGAATTCTTCTTATGTCATATTAACTATTCATATAGTGTTGGTTTGGCAGAAGAAAATAATATTCAATTGCTGCTTGAACAAAAGAAGAAAATTCAGAAAGTCTTTTGTTCCGTCACGCAAACTAAAACGCAATTAATCAAAAGATTGCTCAAAATACTAATGGTCAAATTATTAGAAATAAAAAGTATGTATCTCATTAGGGAGTTACATGTTAACCATGTTTAATTGTCATGAACATCTCAGTGCTATAATAGCAGAAAAACTGTCTTAAGTCAAAAAATAAAAACAATTGATGATTTTGGTAATTCTGCCCAATTGACAATAACCTTGTAATAGACTGTGACTAATTTTCCTATATCTAGATAGCCTAATATAGTGTGAATAATTAGTAAGATAATACTTTTCATAAAAATAAAATATTTCATATGAAAAATTCTTTGGAATAGTTGCAATATTATAATATTTTAAACAAGATATTCAATTATACCATTAGTGATAAAACTATGTATCACAAAAGGTTGATTGGTACTTATTACTGAATTTGTAGCATAATATAATACTCACATTTTGCAGTAATCTTAAAAGAACTACTAGATGGAGTGTCAAATACACACTCAAACTTTGTTTTAGTGAAAGAACAAATTTATATTGAAAAAAAAAAAACACACTGATGAAAAATGAAAAATGAAAAACGAAAAACGAAATATTGTATTTTAGTGAATTTTTTTAAGGTTATAAATAAAAAAAAAATAATTTTATTATTTTTAAAATTTTTAATATCTTTCTAATAGGAACCTTTAGTTTTTCTCTATTCGATTCCAAAAGATAGAGTTAACTTACTGCAGGTCTAGTTTAATGGAGAGAATTAGGATAAGTTGTCAATTTCTTTTTCCAAGTTAATTTTTTTTTATCTATTTTTAAGTTAGATGTTAGCTTAAAAAGGAAGATGAACCTTTTGTTATATGAGTATTTAGTGTTGTGTTTATTTGTTAGATTCAACTTTTTACGAATAATACATATTGGACTCATCCTAACATTAATCTTAATTATATATTAGGGTAGAATATTAGAACCACGTACATAAAATACATGTTACTAATTTTATTTGGTTAAAAATATTAAAAAAATGTGTAAATTTTGTTATATATATAAACTTGATTTTTTTTTCATAATTAGGTCATTCATTTGAAATTTATTTAGTTGTTGTGAATTTATTTAATATATATTTTTTTTAAATCATAATGAAAGATCAATATTATAATCTAAATCACCAAAACACGCATCAATCAAATTTATGAAAACATACTCTTAGACTACATGTAGACTATTCACGCATATGTCTTTCATTGTTGTGATTAGATTATTTAATTACCTAAAGTTACTCTGATGGCATTCAGACAAGTTCAAAGAACTTTCCTAAAATGAAATGTAACAAATTGAAAAGTTTGAGTGATGCTTTTCGTGTGTCTTTGAAAGTAGAAAAGACAACAACAATAAAACACGTGCCTAAAACTGATGGGAACCTAAAAATAAACTTTGAAGCGAAGCTGAGTGAATGATTAATGGATGATACAGATCGCAATTGAAATGCAGCGTGCTCTTGAAAACGATAGAAGAAGCTTCACCCTACACGTGTCCACCACCAGTCTCTGCGATCTGGTATATATATAATCGTGTTACATGGGTAGAATCCGAAATCTTGTTTTGAAAAATTGAATCACATATATATCATTCCATGTATCGATTTCTTAGAAAAATGATTGATTGTTAATAAATATATTGAAAGTAAAAAAGGAATATTTTTTAATGTGTTTTATACGATTTTAACAATTTTATAATTGTATAAAAATATTTAAAAGACAATAATTAGTGAAAGGAAATAAATGTATATAGAATAGATACGTGTGTGGTTACAAAAGAAAAGTGTGGGATGGATGAGAAAGTGTTTGGGTGGTTATACCAGCCATTTTGCACCCCTCATATTGGAAAACATAGTTTGGCTACTTGTCTGTCAAACGGCTTCATGACTCCTCATTTTCCGAAATGTTTCAAGGGTTAGGATTAGATACGTTTTAGCACTACATACAAACAAATTTTTACTTCCATTCACATAAAGTATTTTGCTTTTCAATATTAATCATTGATGATTTATGACTTTTTTTATTTATTTATTTTAACTTATTCATCCTTTTTTTTTATCATAATCTCAGAATAATTTATTTTAAATATATTAATAATGTACAAATTTTTTATATCATCATGTATTCATATAATTAAACATATAAAGAATAGTATACATTAAATTTTTCGAAAAATAGAGTTAAAATCGTCTCTTTTTTTGAATAAATATAAAGTCTTACGGAAGAAAGATAAACAAATAAAAGAATATATAAATAAAAAAGACTAATAAAACTAATATTTTAAATTTTGTAGTTATATTTGACTTCAAGTTCACTTCAATAAAATTTTTGTTTAAAAGATATATCTGGTCCAGATTAAAAAAACTTAACACTGTACAAAACTAAAAAAAATTATAAACTTATATTAATTATAAAATGAATAGTCTATGTACAAATTAAAGTAGTGAATAAAGACAGTGTATATACAAATATTATTTTAATTTCTTAGAATTTTAAATTATCAAAACCACGGTTGAGACGTGAGTTGTTAAAAAGAGAGATATATTTTCCTTTTTACGTTAACACATATATCCATAAAATTTTATTTACCCCAAGAAAAATCCTAAATGAAAAGCCACGACGAAATAAAGGTAGAGAAGATTATCCATAGTGCCTGCCTGCCCTATGCCATTTTTTACATAATTCTTCATATATGAATCAGGTAATAGTATTTTTCGCCTAACTTATTATTGGCTCATTTGAGTAATCATAATATCATTAGGTTAAAATAATGTATGTACTCGCTAGGTCAAAAGTTTTTTCTTTCTAATCAACCATTCAATCTTGTGTTCTTCTGTTTTGTTTAATTCCATTTTCACTTCTTGGTTCTTAGTCTAACTTAGAGAACCTCACTAATATCTTCTTATAGAGATACAAAAAGATTCAATTTCACGTGTTTAATTAGATATTACAAAAAAACAAAGTTAGTTTATGTGATTTTATCTTTTTACATAAAAAATTCTCTTTTATACACATTATAAAAGAGAAATACTAAGTAGATTGGACATAAAAGTAATTCATATTCATTCATATTAATTTTATCACTCATTTACATACCTTACGGATATCTAGATATTCATAACTATAGGTATTTGTAGTTCTTTAACGGAACAAAAATATTACTATTTCATACTATGATAATAAAGCCATGATAAACTATATATATTTAACTAAATTTCAATATAATAAAAGTAATTAATTATAAAACACATTATAAATTTAGTACTTGTTCGACGTAAGACATCAATAATGCTTCTCTTTTTCTAATTAACCTTTGTTTTAATTTCATCAAGGATCAATTTTCACACAAAAGCTTCGATATTTATGATATAAATATGTTCCAAAATCTGTGAATTTGTTTTTGTAGTGTTTTTGACAAGAATCTTATTTGGTTTGGATAAATTTGATCAATTCGATTATTGAAATTGAACTAATTAAATTGATTTGGATTTTTAGTTCATTTAAACTAAACCAATTTAAAATTTATGGTGATTATTTTAAGTATTTAATTTGTAATTACATATCCAACAAGTCCCAACCGAAACCAGTCATTCAATTTTTTTTACTATTTTTTTACTAATAGGAATTAAACACACATAAGGTTTAAAATAATTCACGTATACCCTACTTAATTGACTAAACTAATTTGACAAATATTTTTATTACTAATTATAATTCAAATATATTTTTATTGTTACAATTATGTACTTATTTTATAACTTTAGTGTTATTTATTTTAGTTAAACCAGTCTTAACAAAATATGTTGTTTACACTTTTTAATATCAATAGTAAGTGTAGAATTTGGAATATCTAATCAAAATAAATCTAAACTAATAAAATTGATTAGATTCAATTCAAGCTAAATTGTAAACATCTAATTTTGGAACTATCTTATTTTCAAATAATCCATTTTCCATAACTAATCACTAATCAGCGGTCACTTGTGTTTAATGAGTTTAAATAATACATATCCCATATAAGATTTTAATTTGAACTTTTAGTTTTTTAATATATCCCTTTATTTTGCAACAAAATAGAATAATATTGTCTAATTTTATTTATTTTTCTCTAATGACAAAACCTAACTTTAGTTCTTAGTTTATTTAAGAGAAACTAAACTTATCTCTCCACTCGCATAGAAAATCTCATTTTTTAGACATTACTTTTAATGATTTTACAACGTTGTTTGTAGTTGTTCATACAAACCATGATTCTTCAATCAAAACTATAACTCAAGTTACTCCAATAATATAATAAAGTTAGTTGAAAGAAAATAATCTTGGTGAAGAATTGGGTGAGAATGCGACATTGTCTTTATTCTTTTTGAATGTTGAGTTCATTATAAGGACAAGCCCTACCGAACCATATAGTTCCAAACAACCACTCTGAAACAATATAATCCACACAATATTCGAGTACATCCCATATTAATTACATCCGTATAATCATTACTATATAATTATAATTAATATCATTTTGTTATTTATAAACTTTCCTTGTAATTTCACTATCTTATTGTTGTGTTTGGTTTGGATCATGCGCAACATACATTGCCTCTCAAAAATCTTCTGTTTGAAGTTCAACAATTCGGTATAGAGTTCATGCCTAACTTGGATGTTTGGATTTAACCCTCACCTTCCTCTTTTATATTCCTACAACCTATATAGATATTAGGTCAAATGCTGAGTTATTCTGTTTCATTTTATTTTAACTTAAACATTATACAATCATGCATGAAATCGTTGCCTCACTTCCAGAGACGTGTTTTGACCATACAATCAGATTCCTCACAATATTTTCCTTTTCGAGAACATCTGATCTCAAATATAATTAAACAACTTACATTAATTATTACATTATCAATACATGTTGTATACGTGAATCTAAAAATATATTATATTAATTTTAATATATGAATAATATATTTAATAATTGTAAATTTATGTAAAAGAAATAAATTTTACAAGAAAAGTATCCATTTAAAACTATTAAATAACATAATAGTTAATTAGTGAATGTTATATATATATATATATATATATATATATATATATATATATATATATATATATATATATATATATATATATATGTACACACAAACATATAAGCAGTGATTCCCAACCTAATCCACAGCTGTGCACATCTTAAGCCTTATCTTTATATTTTACCTTATTTAAGCAAATGTTTAGTGAATCATGGCTTAAACTGAGTATTTTATTTTTCAACTAGACCCATGAGTCATGAGTTAACTATGGGCTAATCAGAACAAGGAGAGCCCAAAATAATTAAAGTATGTATATTTATTCTCTCTCTTTTTTTTTTTTTTTTTTTTTTTTGACTAGGCATAGAATTCAACTCAAAGATGATCACTGTTTGTTGGTTTCTGTATATCTAAAAAAGGAAACCGACAATGGGAAGGAATTGCAGAAAGTGCAGATAGATAGTTCCATTTTGCATCCTGCGTTCATTTTGAGTCAAAACCTGGTTAGATGCGTGTGAATCCACAAGCCAAAATAAGCACAGAGGCTGCAACAGCAACCGCATATATAAATTTCTTTGTTTATTGGTACAGTTTTTATCTTGTCTTTTGAATTAAGTTGTTTTTTATTTGTGAAGAAGGAAAAGAAAAAAAGATAGTGGTAGTGGAGTATGTTTAATTATGTGTATGCATGGTGGAAGGTAGAGTAATAGAGGCGCAACAAGGTCACTGTTGTTGTGGGGGCAAGCCAGCTCTTCATCATGTTCCATTTCTCTTACACATCCTTATATATATACAATAACGTGTTTAGGTTTCTTTCTCAGAAGGAATAATCAAGAGGATCGGATCAATATATAAAGGTTAAAGTCACACGTGTTTATTAACGGTGGCGCACCAGAGGGGTTTAGGTTCCTCTTCGGGAAACTTCGCGGCGGAGCCAGGCGGCGATGAGGAAGCGGAAGAGAGTTTCAGCTCGAGGGATGAGCTCCCGGTGCAAGGGAGTACTGTAGGTTCGGTTCCGAGCCATGCGCTGTCACCCTCTGCCTCTGCCCAAACCAACACGGAGTGGGTCCCGGATAGTGGTTTTCCCATGATGTCACGTTTTATGCATGCGCCTTCTCCAGGTTTGTCCTCTTCTCCTGGGCCTGCTCTTTTGGGCTCGGGCTGGGTTGGGCAGAAAAGAGCGCGTGAAGATGAGACGGGTGCAACCGCGAGTGGGGGTGGGGGTGAGGGTGGTTCGTCACGGAGTGCGTCACAGGAAGAAAGCGGCGAGAGGAGGAGGAGATACAGAGGAGTTAGGCAGAGGCCGTGGGGAAAATGGGCTGCGGAGATTCGTGATCCTCACAAAGCGGCGAGAGTGTGGCTTGGCACCTTCGACACCGCCGAGGCTGCAGCCAGAGCTTACGATGACGCCGCATTGAGGTTCAGAGGTAACAGAGCCAAACTCAACTTCCCCGAAAACGTTGCAGCGGTTCAACCTCCTCACCTTCCCGATTTTCTTCCCACCTCACTCGCCGGCTCCAGTGATGTTCCGGCGGTGACCGGCTATTCTCCGACGGTGATGCAGGGGGCGCCGTTTCAGAGCTCCTCTGATTTTCTGAGAGACTACTGGGGGTATTCTCAGCTGCTGCGGAGCACAGGGGAATTCCATGGACTCGAGCAGTGGTTCTATGATTCGCAAATGGCAGCACTTCAATCTTCTTCATCGTCGTTGTTGCCATTACCGCCTGCGTATGCACCGTCCTCTGCTTCCTTTCCTCTGTTTTCCAGCCAGCAAATGGAAGTCCTCCGGCCGCCGGGACAGCAGCCTCACGGTGGAGGAGAAGGTGGTGGCGGGTCAGAGTTTCCACCTTCGACGTGGTCAGATACCAGTGGTTATCCTCCCCCACCTCCACCACCTGGTTGACATGAGTACACAACACAGCCTTTTTCTTACACTATTTTTTCTCTTTCTTTTGTCAAAGAAAGAACAGGTTTTCTTCTGTTTTTTTCTTTTTAATTTTATTTTAATTGAATTAAGGTTCTTATCTGAAAAAAAAAAAAAAATTGAGTTGAGTTGAGTTGAGTGAACATTTTTGTGTAAAAACTGTTAGTTGGTGCATAAATTGATTTGAAAAGTGGGGAGGGAGGTGGATGATGATAAAGGGTGATAGAAAGTTTGAGTGGTACAAGGCAAGATTTTGAAGCTTAGTTGAGAGATAATAAAGACAAAGCAGCATTTAGGTTTGAAGATGAGATGATTCCAAATTCTCAACTTAATGGATGCATGTGGATTTGATGTAAAGTTTTTGTCAACAACTCACGCAAAGATGAAGAAACCAATATCTTTTACAAAACCTCTTCCTAGGAAACCAACTTTTGTTCTCAGCCATGTATGTATCAAGACAAGTTATTTACAGATAGAATACGTAATGTTATAATCGAGTTTATGAAGTAGCAATCGAGGGTTGGGTTTTTATCTTTTCTTAAGTGGTACACTATTTGACGTGAAACACTTGTCACATGGTTTTTATCTTTTCTTATTCTAATTTCATGGTTACGATGAAGCCGCATCGGACACAGTTTACAAACCTCTTTTTCCTTAATGAAATTATACTATGTCTCTCCAAAAGTGGTTTCTATCATGGACACATTGTAATTTAAAATAAAATAATAATTTCTCTAAATACATTGTTGAATATTTGTTGTTTAAATTTTTTTTCAAAACATAAATTATTATTTGTATTATTCTTTCCTTCTTAGACTTTATAACATTGCCTGTATGAAATTACTTCAAAAGAGAAAATAATAATAGTATACATAAAACAATATGTGATAGTTAAAAACGTATTAAAAAGTTATTAAAACATATGAATTTATAATTTTCATATGTAAAAGAATTTTATTATTATTATTATTATTATTATTATTATTATATTATTATTATTATTATTATTTTTTTGTTATTATTATTACTATGTGTTTCTAATTTTATTGAAAAAATATATAATCCTTAGTTATATAAATATAGAAATTTTAATTTTAAAACCTTACAAGTTATACAATAATTTTTAAAATATAAATTTGTTTTATAATAAACATATTTAAAATTATTAATTACAATCAATGAAAAAAATCAATAACTTGTTAACACAATAAATACTTTAATTATTCTTTTTTTTTTAATTTACATATTGCATTAATTCAAGAAATTTCATTTAAAAATAAATTAATCATGGGTTTCATGTTTAGTGTAGGTATTTAACATATTGTTTAAAATAAATTTATGTATGTAATTATATAAATAAAAATAAAAAATATATAATTTAAATAAGCTGTGCATCCACGGGTGTAGTGCTGCTGGTAGAAAATTTATTGAGAAGATGGTGTCCGGTAAGAATGCAATACATGTTCTATTTTGAGAAAAATCTAAACATATCATTATATCATATTCTATTTATTCATTTGTTTGTGATAGTTGGTGAGATGGCAGGATTTTTTTTTTTTTCAGTAAGTTTGAGTTTAAAAGGACAAAATAATTATGTTTCAAAAAGAAAAACATTTCCATTTGGTACATTGGGTTCAAATATTCACATTCTTCTGTTGCAAAGTTAATAAGATTTTATATAATTCATATTTTACATAATAATTCATATTATTTAATATAAATTGTTTTATGTTTATCCTATTATTGCATTGTATTTCTTTTTAAGTTGTATACATAGATTAGTGTCGTCTATGTGATGATTTTTTTTTTTTTTTTTTAAGTTGGATTGTATGTCATAGGATATGTCTTATGAAATTTAGAATTTTACATCTAACTTTTAAGATTTAGTAATAATGTTTGAAACTTACATGTAGATTATTTTAGGAATTAGAATAACGGCATTAGAATTTATAATTAAAATAAAAAAATGAAAAAAGAAAAATAAAATTGATAATAAATAATAATAAATTGATAGAAATTATAATACCATATTTAAATCTTAAGAAAAAATAATAATATCCTCTTTAAGAAATTAAAAAAGCTCAACTATTAAATAATAATTATTATATATAAAAAAAATTAAGAATGATTTACAAAATAGATATTTTACTCCTTTATAAATAAATACCAACCTAAAATTTCATGATGTGAGATATGACTTCTCTTCTCAAATATCAATATGATATACCTTATCATACAAAATTAAATATTTTTTATTTACTTTTTATTGTCAAAAAGTAAAATATTTGAAAATTATGGTAAAAAATTTCAGATCTACAAAATAAAATTTATATAATATATATATATATATATATATATATATATATATATTATAAAAGTGTAAAATAAATCCACCTTAAAAGTTTTAAAAATTATGTCAACTTAACTCAAATTATATTATAAATAAATATATATTTTTAAAGTCCTATCCAATTGTACTTGGCACCAACAATTTATTTATTTATGCTAGCTAGAAACTAAAAAAATATAATTTAAAATAAAATATTTGAGAATATGAAACTTAAACTTTATATACACATTTGATAAAGGTGAGTTAAGGAATCAGGTGATGAATCTGACTCGACTTAAATAACATAAAAGTTTGTTTGTAATTAAATAAAACTGTGCAATATTGTCCAAACCAAACAAAAAAAAGAGTATCCTAAAAATTAACATTTCTTTTTTTGTTTTGAAACTTTTATTAAAACTTTGGACGAACATATATTAAACTATCATATTTTTTTTATTATATTCCTCTTGACAATATAATAATTCAAACAATAACGTGTAATCTTGATTATAGTTAGTTAATTTGATGTCTATAATAATATAATTGATACAACAACAATTATGGACGTAAAATTAAACTAAATTATGACCTAATCCATCTAGAAATATCCTCACCAAATATATAACTTAAAATAAATATAAATATGTAATATAGATATTGATTAAATTCCAATATTAATAATTATTATAAAGTGTTGTATGAACAAAACATCCTGATTAAATTATTATTAAATCAAATAATATATTAGTTGAATATAAAGTACAAACATGCACGCTCTCTCATTACATCACCACTTGTTACTAATTTAATATCACCCGCATGAATATGCCATTCCTTCTTCTTATTTTACAACTTGAGAGTGCCATGAATATTGATGTGGATGAGTAAAATACACAACTACAAATACATCTCATGGTGGAATAAAAGAATATGTTAGCTATGAAGAACTTTATTAAGACATTCTCTCTCATCTTATTTTATATTCATGTGATTTTTCATGGTTAACTTCCGTGACGGATTTTCTTAGGAGCGGAGGGTCGTGATCTCCTAAAGTTTTGTAATTTCTAAATAATTTATGATTTTGTCTCTCTAAACTTAATGAATATTTAATATTATTTATAATTTTATCTTCCGAGTCCCTCCTCGGTTTTATAATTCTCGTATAATTTATGATTTTGTCACCCTCTAATTTAATGATCATTTAATATATTTAAGTATATATTTACAATTTTACCATTTTTTTTATATTTATTAATAATATAATATTTGATCAATGATCAAGATACAGTGTTACGTTTAACTACGTTTAAGTAATGTTATCTTACTTTTCTTATAGTCCTTGCTATTCTGCCATATCACAGTGGAAAGGAGGAATATCGGTCTCAATATTTCTAATACTTTGCACAACTTTTAATAATCAACTTGTCATGGTATAACAAAATTTTATTGGACTATATGTTGCTATTTGTTTCAACTCGTCCTTTTGAATAAATCAAAATTTGGACCAGCTTAGTAGATATATTATTTGATGGAAGAAATCGTTCTACTACACTTCCAAAAATCAACTATAATAATTCAAAGATTAATTTAGTCCCCTTCACACAAGTTGAATTTTGACTTAATCTCTTCATTCAATGAAGCCAACCAGCTAGCATTGCCAAGCTCAAGAATGGAACACCATCCAGTACAAGAGCCTTTCCCATTTACTTTCGTTAAATTTGCTTTGAAAATATTATTTTATCCCTTCTTTTAACTTTCCTAAGATCTTCTTCATTTCTTCACTTGCCTCCATTCGCAACCCTCTAATTCCTTTTCTTTGTCTTATTCTATTTACAGTAAAATGAAAGTTTACGAATTTTAACTAATGAGGAACAAAATAACGTAAATAGTATATACATTAATGAAAAAAATATAGAAGGGGAGTGAACTTGAAATTTTTACTTGAATTTTTAATTCTATATATTTAATTGTTTTTTTAATGTTTATAAAAAATAATTAATTAAGATTTATATATATATATATATATATATAATATTTTATTTAAGTTAACATAAATTTTAAAAAATTTTAAATTTAAATATCTAGAAAATTGTAGAAGAATAAAAATTATAACAACACATCAAATTTAAAAAAGTTTAGGATTGTGACTTCCGTTATCTTCCATTAAAATTCGCTTATCTATTCATTAAAATTAAATATATACAAATTATAATAATATAATTAAATTATAAATTTTATGTTTAAATGACTTTTATAAATAGAGTTAGACATATATTGCGATATTGGATAGAGTTAAACATTGATTTATTTATAATATGGTATGAGAAATGAGTCCTATTGAGTTTATTTGCACCATTTTAAGAATATGCTGTTTGAATATATTCCTATGCCTCTTAAATTCTTTAAAATTTTCATTTTTAAATTAAATTAATTCTTGCTAAGATTTATTTAGAGTATATATATATATATATATATATATATATATATATATATATATATATATATATATATATATATATATATATATGAAATAATAGTAATATTGTTGCATCTTCTGATGTGCTAGCATGTATGTCATGATAATGTATTGGAATTTTGGTTTTGTGACTGTAAAAGTTTACATAAGAAAAGTATTAGAATTATTTCAGTT